AAAACTCCTTCAGGGACAAACATTTTATAATTTGTCCCTGAAAAATGGGGAGACTCAAAACTAGCCAATTTAATTAATTACTTATTTATTTAGAGGCGAGGCCATACTTTGTCACCCAGGCTGGAGTGCAGTGGTGTGATCATAACTCATTGCAGCCTCAAACTCCTGGGCTCAAGTGATGCTGTTGTCTTAAATGACCCTCTTGCCTTAGCACCCCCAGTAGCTGAAACTACAGGCATGTACCACCATGCCTGACTAATTAAAAAATATATATATTTTTAAATAGAAACAGGGTCTTACTACATTGCTTAGATTGGTCTCATACTCCTGGCCTCAAGCAATCCTCCCACCTTGGCCTCCCAAAGTGCTGGGATTATAGACGTGAGCCACTATGCCCAGCCAAAACTAGCCATTTTAAAGCCCAAGACAGAATTCCTAAAAATGACCCCAGCCATACTCCTTCACCTGCCCAAATGTCCATAAACTTCATTGGACATCTTCAGACCTCCAATCCTGCAGCCCAGCCCCCTGCAATTACAATAACTAACAGCAACACTAGTTCATGCTGCAGGAGTGAGGCTCATGATTTGTTCAGGGCTCAGCTAGAATCATAGCCAGCAGATGAGTGGAGCAGGACATAGGGGAAAGGAACAAATGACACAGGACTAGTCTGGGGAATGGGAGAAGCCACATAGTTAATGGCAGTGTTCAAATCCAGATCTCAGTCAAAATAAAAGGCTTTTCCTTCATGCCAGATTTGCCTCCTTGTATCAACTACTATAGAGATACAAAGGTGAATAAGATACCACTCCTGCACTTCAGAAGTTCATAGTTAAGCAACTTTGGACGTTCAGGAAGCGATTACATTAAAATGGACGTCAAAATGCCTTTGTTCACAAAAAACAAATATATTCTGAGATACATTGGAGACTGTTCTCACCAACTGTCAGAGTCTGGCTCTACTAAGGTTAAAGCAGGAAATCACTACAAAACATAATCACCTGAAAGGACTTTGATCATAGTACCCTTTTCTTCAAAAACTATCCATGCCTTTTTATTGTTTAAAAATCTTCAGCCTGGAATTAGTCCTTTCCATCTCTTACGGCATTCAGCACAATGTCTTACACAGCAAAGGGATTAAAATTTGCTTAGCTTGGCAAAAGCCACAAAAGGTACACCTTCAAATACCTGCCAATTCCTCTTTTCCTGGCCCTAATGAGTATGTTTCCCACCTCATATTCCCTTCATCTACCTACAATTTAATTTAATTAAACAGTTCTTAAGTATCTATTGTATATGCTAAGCTTGGAGCTGGAGCTCTGAAAATGAATAGACTCTGTGATATAGGACAGGACATCCTTCAACTTCCTGCTCACAACTACAAACTTAATTTTATTGGCAACGTTATCTTCTGCTTTCCGGGCCCCCAATGAAGGTAGTAACCATTCTACCTAAGGCCAAGCCGGCCCAAGGTTTGAATCCCAATGCTTCCTGCTTCTTCCAAGTCTTCTCTCTCAGATGTTTTCATCCCCTCGTTTTCTATTGGAAAGGACTTTGTGGCATTTCTATGGAGTCTTCCCTTAAATATTTTAAGTCTCTGTATTCCTTTTTATAAAATTCTCAAATATCCTGAAGCTCCTGAGTCTGCCTCAGAACTACACTGTCTCTCCTCCCATCTGGAACCAAGTTTCAGGGAAGAGTTATCTGTAAGACCCTTCTGCTTCAGTTTCCTTGCCTTCCATTCACTCCTCATCCTGCCATCTGGACTTGCCCCACTATTCCATAATAAAAGGACCATATTTTGGCCCTTATATTAATAACTCTTTATAGCATTTGACCCTTTGCTTCCAGGATACCACATTCTCTAGATTTCTTCTCCCCTCCCTGAACAGGCTTTCTCAAGCTCCTTGGTAAACTTTTCTTTCTTGGCTCATCCCTTGGACTTTGCTGCTACTTTGAGCTCTGTCTGCAGCCTTCTCTTCTCATCACATCCTCCCTGGTAAGTTTGCACCCTCTAAATGCTTCAATTACCATCTTTGTTCTGATGTCTCCCAAATGTTTACTGCTAGCTCAGTTCTCTCTTTTGAGAGCCAAACTTCTACACTGATCTGCTCATTTAACATCTCTAGGTAGACATTCTATAGACAGACTCCAAATCTATACTTATCACCTTCCCTCACAAACTATCTCCTTTTCTTACATTTTCTTTCTTACTGAATGGCACCCTATCCACTCTGCTGTTCAAGTCAGAACCTTGAAGTCCATAATAATTCCCTTTTCTTCCTCATTATCCACATCTAATGAGTCACCAAGTTTAATTGATTTTAGCTCCTAAATCATTTTCCCCATCTCATTTTCCCCATCTCAGCTTCTCTGCTATCTGGATTGATACAACAGTCCCATAACTAGTTCCTCTGGCTCTGGACTCTGGTCTTCCTCCAATCCATTCCCTATAATTGGAGAGAATCGTCTTTCTAAAGGACAAATCTTTCTCCTGCTGAAATCCTATTAGGGACTCCCTATTCCTCTCACTATAAAGCCTAGCATGGATGCCTGATCTCCATCTAGTTGCATCTCTTGTTAATTCCTTCCCTGAAGTTTGTGCTCCAGCTGTGCTGATCCAGTTATGGTTCCACAAACATACCATACTCTCACCTCCAAACTTTGAAACATTCTGTGCCTTGGTTTAAAATGCATCTACCCTCCAATGTCTTGCCTCCCCACTTGGATTTCCAAGATCCTACTCTTTTTTCAGCTATCAACCTAGAAAGAGAAGTACTTTCCTGCCCACCAGACTGGAGATAGGTCTCCTATGTCCTACTACAGAATCTTCATCATAGTTCTTCCTTATTACTCTACTGTCATTGCTTGTCTACCTATAGGTTATCCCCAGTAGCTGGTTGACTCCTGGAAGTCAAGATCCATGTCTTATTCACTTAATCCCAGAACCTGGAATGTGGTAGGTTCTCAATACACAATTTTTTTTTTTTTTTTTTTTTTTTTTGAGATAGAGCCTCGCTCTGTCACCCAGGCTGGAGTGAAATGATGTGATCTTGGCTCACTGCAGCCTCCACCTCCTGGGTTCAAGTGATTCTCATGTCTCAGCCTCCTGAGTAGCTGGGGCTACAGGCACACACCACCATGTGCAACTAATTTTTGTATTTTCAGTAGAGACAGGGTTTCACCATGTGGGCCAGGCTGGTCTGGAACTCCTGACCCCAAGTGATCCATCTGCCTTGGCCTCCCAAAGTGCATGAGCCACTGTGCCCGGACTCAGTACACAATTATTTTAAAATAAAAGAATATTTAAATGCAGATTTGTTTAAAATTAAATAAATATATAAATGAACACATATGAAGGATATATAAATGAGTGGAGAAATATAGATATATAGATATCCATAATACTATGACATATATGATCTAAGTTATGATTAATAATAGCAGCAACAATAACAATAATGTAGCTAATTTCTACTGAGTGCATATTATGTGTCAGCATCATTATAAATACTTTGTACTTATGAACTCAATTGATCCTTATAATATATTTAGAAGGTAGGGATTAATTCAAGGTTCTGGGGGTGTGTAGAAGAGGGAAGATTTAATTCTGCTGATATTGAGGGGGTGTCAGTGTAGCTTCAGAGGAAAAGTGGCTTCTGGGTAGATAGTAGTGAAAGCCTTGGTTTTGGGTGAGATTGGAACCCTAGGGGAGAATATCTGGTGGGGATACTGAGCAGGAGTGGTAAGAGAAGTCAGAAAACCCAGGGGAAGTGACAATAGAAAAACCAGGTAAAGAGAGAGCTTCAAAAAGGAAGAATGTTAAATGTCCCAGTAATGTCTAGTAGTAAAAGAAAACAGGCTCTGGCACCTCAAGTCCTGAGTGCCCTTTTGTGAGAGTAATTTTAGTAGACTCATTCATACTAAAGCAGACTAGGAAAAGAATATAGGCGAAGAAATGTAGAGAGTGATACAGAGTCCTTATACAAAAACTGAAGTGAAGGAAAGGAGAGAAAAGGAAAAGGCAGGCAGGGTCACGGGGAGATTTTTTTTTTTTTTCTTTTTCTAGATAGGAGTTAACCTGGACATGGTTTGGTTTGGTTTTGGTTTGGTTGTTGATTTTTAACGAAAAGGAAGACTCCCATTGAGTAAATATTGAAGATTAAGGGAGATCAGAAGAGGCAGGACAGACTAGGATGATTCTCGGAAAGACAGCAGGTCTTCATCTGATTGGGGAAAGGGACAGGTGAATTACTGACAAGGGGACTCAACTGGAGGAAGTGCTCCCTTGATGGTCTGTATCATCCCTGTAGAATATGGTATCATAGTTAAGATACTGGAACCCTATTCAACCCAGTCTTCTTGATAAAGGAAGAGATGAGGAAAAAAGAAGAGATTTTCTTTAAAAATTATGGCTATGGTATATATCACACTAGATAAATAGGAGATGCAAAAGAGTCAGCCATACATAGTTCCTTTGAATGAATCTAGGGAGCCAAATGGAAGCAAAAAATCATTCTGCAGAGGCACATCTGTGCTCATTAAACTAGACCATAATCTCCTTGAACCCAGGATATGAGCCTGTCTTGTCCACTGTTGCATCCGCAGTGCCTACCTATTTCAATGCCCAGCCCATACCAGGTACTCAATAACAGTTTTTTAGATGAATGAATAAAAATTCAAACACTTATAAGTTTTATTTAGCTATTTTAATCAAGGTTAAAAACAGAGCCAGTTTCATGGGTATGTGACCTGGGCAGTTTCACAGGGCCCCATGTCCCGAAGGGCCCCTGGTTTGGTTTAATGCTTTGCAGTCACTACTTTGAAATGTTCAGTAATATGAACAAGGGGCCCCACATATTATGCAGCCAGTACTTGTTAAAAAAGAAAACACATATTTCTACAAATTTCCAAGTAAATGGATACTTTAGATGCATGTGAATGCCAAATTACCCATAGAAATTTATCTTTAAAATTAAAAAAGTATATTTCAGGCTTACCTGAAATGCTAGATTGTGGTTTTTCTTTCTTAAAATATGGTTCATACTCTCTGTAGACAATTTTCTTAAAGGAAGTTGCAGAAAGATTCAAACTGGAAATAAAATACAAAAACTAATTTGCAAGGCATATTCAACATCTATTTCTCACATCACAAAAAAAGTAGATCTCTCATATCTTCAGACTTCTAGTAGAATACCAGTATCTTTATTGCATTTCAGAAGCCCATAGTTTTATAAATATGATCAATAAATAAAGTTAATGAAATAATTATTGGTCTCTTCAAAAATATCCTGTTGTGATAACTATTTGTTCACAAGTTAATCTACCCTAATATCATTCCTCAGAATCAATTTTCTAAAAAGAACCCAATATCATAGTATAAACCCAAACTGTAGGTTTAGATTTTACATGATTAAAATATGACCAAATCCTTTATGAATAAATATATGAGCTGTTTTTCAACTGATCAATCAAAAATAGTTTTAATCTACTGGGGAACATCGTGAAAAAGTATTGATTTGGTGGAATTTATTTCTAGTTGAGAGGTGAGAGATGGCTAATGGGATAAAAGCCCTGGGATTCATATTGGAAACAAACAAATGAAAAAACTGTTTTGGAAACAGTCAGTAACTTGTCCAAGAGACACAGTTGATAAGTGGCAGAACCAATATTAAAAAATGTGAAACCACCGCATTCATGATTTTAAAAAATATTAGAGAGAGGACAGACAACAGGGAGAGTCGTGAGTGGTGAGTTACTTTCCTGTTGTTGCTGTTGTTGTTGTTGTTATTGTTCTGTACCTCTAAAGACACATCATTCTTATCCTTGTCTTAAACTCAAAGATGAGGGTAAAAGGAAAGAGAATTCAGAGAAAACACCTTACAAATGTCTCAATCAGTTGATCAGAGTGGCTTTGTTTTGCTTTCTAATGTGGGGACAGTGGCCCAGCCATAATCAAGACATAACAGCACCCACATATGCCATGCCTTCTATACAGCACGGTGGCTAGGGTGCAGGCTGTGAATTCAGTATCTCTGGACTTGAAGACTACATCTACCTCTTATTGTTTTATCTTGAAAAGTTTACTTAATTCATTTGTGCCTCAGTTTCTACAACTATAAGATGAGATTAATACTGAAATCTCCCTCACAGAATTGTTGTATAATTTTAAATAAGTTGATATGTACAAAAGGCACAGAACTGGCACACTAGAAATACTTAATCCATGTTAGCTAGTAATATTTTGTAAATATAATTAGAGTTAGTCTTTAGCCTTCAGGTTTTCACAGAAAGCAAAAACAAATCTGTAGTTATAGTAATGCTCACAAATTTTAATATGTGGAATACAGGAACTGTGTTAATATGTGGGGGCAGGATTAAAGGAGGCATGTAAGTACTTTTAGAATGGCTAGATAGAGAAGGTAGTGGATTCTCCATCACTGGCAGTATTCAAGTAGAAATTTGACAACTACTTGGTAAGGTCATTGGTGCTGAGGGCAAGGGAAAAACTAGAAGGTTAAAACACCTTAATATGTTTGAATATGAATTAAATGACCTCTTAGCGTGAATATGAATTAAATGACCTCTTAGCGTTCTTATAACTTAAGAATTCTAAGATTCTATATACTAATGTCCCTAATGTGGAAGTCCATTTTTATTTATTTTTTTAGTACAATTGAAAAGTTATTGTCCTCCCCTGCCCCAGATCTTTGATACAGAAATGTAAATGATGGTATAAAATCTTTACTAAAAAATATCAGTCTCTTATGTGGAGTAATTTCAACAGAGAGAGGTTTTCTAACAAGTTTTACTATGTATGCTGTGTATTTATACTGAGGTATGTCTATTTTAATCTGAACAATTTCTATTGGAAAATAATCTATCTGATTAAAAAGTTACAGATGATATGAATTCAAACAATGTGTACAATGAGTTTTTCATTTATAAGGATTGTTTAAAGATGATTTGTTCATAGTCACAAAATCATATAAAGCTAGAACCCTAGGAGAAAAATGTATGTATATCTTTTCTTCAATATCTCTTTGTATTATGTGAGTGACTAAACAAGGTTTCTAAGGAAATTTTTGAAAGTGTTCATCTCAGACTTGGAGCAAGAATAATATGTACATTTTACCTTTACAAGGCATTGTCCTGCTAATATTATATGAAATAAGTAGATGGATTTCTGTTTTGTGCTAAAATACACTTTGCCAAAAGATGGAGTTGTCTACGTTGATATTCATCTAGTGAGTATCATAGCTCTAGGGGCAGGACAAGTTAGAACAAGTTCTTAGTGTAAGCAGCCGGATATATGGATTAGATTTTTCATAAGAAAATGCTAGAGAGAAGTGATATGATTTAGGGTTAAACAATATAACAGTTTGCTTGGGTTATGTTTCTATGGTTTTGACTCAACAATTGCTACCAGAGAAATGACTCTCCAGAACTTTGGAAACTTACCCACAGGGTGAGGGGACAGAATGACCAGTCGTGGTTCCCTGTGTACTCACCATGTGAATCAGACCTTTGCCCTATGTGATTCTGCCTCCAGCATTTTGCTTGCTATTTTCAATGCTAACTACAGACAAGAGAAAAAACTCCCAAGCGTAAACCCAGCATGCTATAAGAAAGCCAACAATCAAGTTTGCATTCTACTCATGAGCAGGCAAGATCAGGGTTAGAAGGACTGTTATTTTCCTTGGGGTTTTAGCTTACGGCAGTTCCGAAGGGTGTGGGTGTGACCTAGATTGTCACTTTGAAGTACAATATTTAAAATGATTATTTTTGAAAAGGAGGGATCTCTTCTTATTATAAGACCAAGATCATGTGTAATACCCTGCAAAATAACCCAGTTACAATGAGAGTTTTAAAAAGGTTAATATTATACACTAAAAGATCTCCAATATTACATTAGTTTTTGGCAGATTGCTTTGGTTTTGTAATTGTAAAAGAGGAACACATCTTTCATAATAAACTGTGATGTTAGGGAAAAAAGTGAGTCACACTAGCAGGTTTACCATTTAAAAAATAACTAACTGGAAATATTGAATAGACTCTATGATTTAGTTAATTTCTGAGAAGTCTTATTTTTAACATTTCAATTAGAAAAAATAGTTTGCAACTCAAGGGTAGTATTTTGTATGAATTAAACCTCCTCTCAGTTACATACCATATCCCAGGACATGATTAACAGAGAGAAAAAAATGAAGAGTCACATTCAACAGGATAAATAAGTCATATCCCAGGACATGATTAACAGAGAGAAAAAAATGAAGAGTCACATTCAGTAGGATAAGTAAGTCAAATATGAAGCAGAAAAAAGGTGAAAGTACAAAAACATAGAAGAACTGATGATATTTTGAAAATCATTTATAAGGCAGCAATAAAATTATATGACAAAAAGCACAAGGTGTTCATTTTTAGTTTTAGAAGATGAAGCTATGTAGACAAGGGAATAAATAATATGTAAATAGGAGTCTTATAAAAATACTATACAACTAAAAATCTGGAACAGGAATTTCCAGAAAGCACTAATGAGGAAGCAATCCCTGGTGCCTTTGAATTCACCAATATATAAGCCAACACAAACATACTAACAAAACTGTATTGAAAATAAACTTGAAAAGAAAGCATCATCCAACCAATCAAATGGAATGCTTTCTATACCCTCAGAATGATAAACTACATTATTGGAGGCAAAATTAGCATTCACCCAGTTTATTTAATTCAGTGTACTCTCCTATTAGTTATATTTACTTACCTGAAGTTAAAAAAAAAAAAAAAAAAAAAAAAAAAAAGCCATGACATTGCAAAGGAAATGTTGTCTAAAAGAAATAGATTTTCCTCTCTAGAGAAGCCCACCCAGATCCACACCTGAGTTACCTTGAGTTTGTGGACTCAGGTCGGTAGCTCCAACTGACGCCCTGAGCAGCCACGTAGAACTGCCTTAGCTGTACCGCTTCTGTCCCTTGTCTCCCCCAGCCTACCCAGCTGGTGCCCAAGACCACCAGGACCCAGAGGCGTGGGCAGCGTGGGAACATGCTTGCTTTCCTGCTCCCGCTGGCTGCCACCACCCCAGGACCTGGGCAGCCGCTCGTTGAGCTGCTGACTAACCCCGCTCCTGGCTGTCCCAGCTGCAATGAGCTCTGAAGGCTGTGGGTGGCAGCGTCTTTCTCCCCTGCGGTTCTTGCAAACTGCAGCGGCAGCCTCTGGCTCTCCCTCCCTCCCCTTTTTCTGGGGCTTTTCCTGGCAGGGGCTTGGTGAGATCACAGCTCCCAGCGACCAGAGGTATTAGGGAGAGCAACCAAACTAGTGACTGTTTTACTACAGGTGAAGAAGGGGCAGAGATCAGAGGCTCTAGCAGGCGGGACAATGCCCAGAGATTCATGAGCCGGATAAAGCTGTATCCCTCCATTTCCACCGGCCAACAGCACGGAAGCAGTGGTCCCTTACCACTGACCTGAGGCCTGCCTGGGTCCAAGCTCACACTTGGAGAACCTTCTGTGCAGTGCAGTGGTACCCAACCACCTTAAGCAGATGGCTCGCCTTTTGATCTGAGGAAAAGAGTGTTGTGCCCTGTTACCCGGCACTGAAACACTATTTTCAAGTGGTGGAGGAGAAGGGAACAAACACATGGACAAGGCCTACTGCTCTGAATCGCCTTCCTGGTCTCTATCAAGGCACAGTTCTGCCTTGATAAGGGCCTGTAGCTAGCTAAGCTGCAGCATAGCAGAGGGCTTAAAGAACTTGGCTGAAAAAAAAATCAGTTGTCCAGTTTTCAGTTTCACTTACTAGCTGTGTTGTCATGGGCAAGTGACTGTACCTTTCTGTTCAGTTTTGATATCTGTGAAATAAGGATGACAATAATGGTTTTTCCTGATAAGGTATGTTGGGAGGACAAAATGCTACTGTAAACTATAGTTCCAGCACTTAGCACACAGCGGCTAGGCGCAGTGGCTCACGCCTGTAACCCCAGCACTTTGGGAGGCCAAGGAGAGTGAATCACCTGAGGTCAGGAGCTCAAGACCAGCCTGGTCAACATGGTGAAACCCTGTCTCTACTAAAAATACAAAAAAATTAGCCAGGAGTTGTGATGGACACCTGTAATCCCACCTACTCAAGAGTATGAGGCAAGAGAATTGCTTGAACCCGGAAAGTGGAGGTTGCAGTGAGCTGATAACGTGCCATCTTACTGCAGCCTAGGCTACAAGAACAAAACTCCATGAAAGAAAGAAAGAAAGAGAAAGAAAGAAAAGAGAGAGAGAGAGAGAAAAAGAAAGAAAGAAAGAAAGAAAGGAAAGAAAGAAAGAAAGAAAGTCAGTCACAAATTTGTTACTATGATCATATTTTCCTGTCTCTAGGACCCCTTGTATTCTTGTATTTCTTGAAGGATCTAGTTGTTTCACACCACCTTAAATCTTACTTTGCTGTTGATAGAGAATCTGAGAATTATATCGTCTGAGACATCATAATGACTTGTCCTGGGTTCCCTGTATCTGCATGGCTCCAAGTTTCTGTCATGCTTTATGCATTCAGTACATTCAATAAATTGTAATCTGGCACCTCACATGAGGTCTCTGTTAATGATATCAGGCTCATCAACAGCCTTTTCCCCCCTCCCCACTCCCCTCAGTGTTCTGTCTTTCCTCCTGTGCTGATATTATTCTACCAACTTAGAATGCCCATTTTCTTCCTCTTTGCTGGGTCATTCTTTACAGTGCAGGGTTCTGCCTGTCTCCCAGATTCTGGGCTCCAATGGACTTTTCCATTTTATGAACTATTATAACACTATTCAAATTGTATAATCATGTTAATTACCTTTGGTTATTCCATGTAGGTATCTATTATCTCCCTGACTGAACAGTTGCTTACACTTCTTTATCTACAATGTTATCAGTGTCTCCCAAAGTTGGTAACCCATCAGAATTCCCAGGGGAACTTTTACAAAATGTAGATTCTGACTCAGGAAATAGGGCTGAGACCAAAGTCCTAGAACATCTAGCCTATTGATTGACATATAAATAAGCAGAGATGCTACTGGCAGTGTATCAGAGAAACGTTTTGAAAGCACTGTGTCCCTAAATCCCAAGGTTACTACCAACATTGTTACAACATTACTGTAACCTTTGAGTAGGCTGCTTTTTTTACTTGGATGTTTGCTTATGTATATACAGTGTACATGACATGTTTATTGCATTACATTTTACAGAGACAAGATGACTACTATAATGTTTGGCTCTCTATTTTTTTTAACATCAGTTCCAGATAAACACTGTATAACTTTCAATGACCTATTTATTAAACATGGGATTTAAAGAATATGTAAAACACATTTGTTCTTCCCTGTAAAACATTAAGGTGATGAAGAATTTTTCCATTTCTCTGATTTTCTGAGTGGAGGGTGTGTGATACAAATTTGCTGGCTGACTGAATGGTTGAGGTGTAAATAGGACAACCATAATTATGTGTTATTACACTGATGGTAAACAATGTGATATACACAGACCTTACTGAACGAACCATCAAATAGAGGAACATGGCATTTGGGGAAAATTCTTTTAATTATACATTTGAATATTGGTCTTTGGGTCCTTTGAGGGACAGTGACTGGTGGCAGGAAGGTCCACAGTGACATGTATCCTCCTGGCTTGATTCTTGGCCTTCTGCAGCCTCTGGTGCCATCCAGAGGACTCTCTGGAAGCCTCAGAGCAGAGGTCCAAGAGGCCTCATCAACAGCAACCACTGGAGACTCCAGAAGATGCTGCAGGAATTGCTTCCAGTTAGAGATGCCACCTGCTTTCCAACAAAGTAGAGAAAGCCTTCCTTCAATCAAAAAATAAAGAGGTATTTTTGTTTCTCCACAGTCTGGTCTTCTTGTGAGTCAGATGCTCCAGTCTCTTTGGTTCACTGGTAGTTCAAGTGACAGGTGAGTCAAAGCACAGAGACTACTACAGAAACATTTGCTCCTGGCTTCTGTGGCTTGTATTACAGGAAGAGAAGAGGTGGGGCAGGAAGGGGTGGTAGGTGGAGAATTTGAGATTGTACCACAATCCCAAACTCAGGAAACAGGGTTGGTCCAAAGCTGGTCCAACAGGCTGGTCCAGAGCTAATCTAAGGTAATTCCATGTCTTTGATTCACAGGTGTTTATGGAAAACTGCAGCAAATGCATTATAGTTAAGTCAAGTCTAGCAGGAAACTTGATGTTCACAACAGGATCATATGGAGCTGAATGAGGTGACCAGGAAAAGGACAGGTCTCTGAAAATGAGACCAAAGAAATTTAAATAATTATCATTTCCTTAAAAAAAAAAAAAGGAAAGAAAAAAATTGCTCATCATATCTACCCCCTGAGGCTCAGCATAATCTTTTCTTTCTAGATTTTGAATATTCTGCCATTCAGGTTTTTTGTAGGACACTCAGCTACCCACTGAATTTTTTGGGAGAGGGATAGCATCAGATTATTTTTGTTTTTCCAGCAGGTAGCATAGGGAATTGACTCCATAGCAGATCGAAAACATTTTTCAGCAGTCTTGACTTCTGCTTTGCAGGAAAGGTCACGTCATCACCACCTAGCAGCCAATAATGGAAATGTCACACATCCTGAAATAAGTTATGTCTTGTTAGGACATTTCTGTCCTGGAGGAAATGGAAATCCTTATGTGAACTCTATTGTCATTCCGTTGTCATACCTCTGTCCTACTGCCAACACAATTTCCTTCATGCCTGAAAATCTAATACATACTTAAAACGTAAGGCATGATTACATAAAGAAAAGTTAAGCTTTATAGTCTTCCTTTTTCCCTATTGGTCTATTTCCTTCAAAAATATCTTCATAGGTATGTTACCTTAAGAACTCGGGTCAAATGCAGCATTTGTAAAAACTCCATATGTTCCTAGGTGGCTAAAAAACAGAAACACAAGGGTGACCACCATATACTGCTTAGTTGTCAACAACACAGTCCAACACATAGTATTTCCAGAAACCATAAATTACCATCCACCCCTGGAATTCTGCTTTAGAAAGGAAAGAAAAATAAAGGCCAAAGAAATATTCGATATCCCACTTAACAGCTCTGGGTAATTTACATTGTATTTTGTACCCGCACTAAGTTATTGTTGATGTTTTACCTACTGAATACCTGTTATATCCTCTAAGGTGCTGCAACCTCTTCTAGGTGAGAAGAAGTAGTTACAAAATTCTTGGCATTAACACTTGATAATCTAACGGTAGTTTATGATAATCTAACGGTAGTTTTCAAAAGGGGCAGTGTGCCCCCTAGGGGTGTTTTTTGATTTTTATAACCATCAAGAGTTCTACTGATATTGAGTAGGTATGGGGCAAGGGTGCTGGATGTCTGTGACAATAGGGTTCATATAAGGATTTCTATTTCCTCCAGGATGGAAATGTCTGTAAAAGATATCCAGCACCCCTGCCTCCTGCCCACTCAATGTCAGTAGAGCTCTTGTTCGTTGCAAAAATCAAAAGAAATACCCTTGGAGGCATACTGTCCCTTTTTGAAAACTCTTGCTAGATTATAAACAGCAGGGGGTACAGGACACAAAAGAATTGTCCAACACCCCACATAACTTTGGAATATCTGCTCAATATTCATACAGGTTAAAAATCTCTGAGCCTGGAACGCAAGCGCTTTACATGTAAATATTAAGCATTTTTTGCATCTTTAAAAAGCGTAATTGCCATATGAATCAAGGGACAATTATCACAGGTTTTAGGACTCTTTACCAGAGTTGTTCACCATTTTGAAAAATTAGATTAGTGTTGGCCACAGCTCTAATGCTCTTTGAGTCACTAACACAACATTCCCCCATCAGTCCACCTACATGGCTGCTGCTTTCCTAGTGATTCTGCTGGAAGGTGCATGTTTCTGATGACCTCATTGCATCTGCTGGCACAGCACCTAAGTTTTTGCATCATGTTTTTATTATAAATTACTTTTCGTTTTATTTCTACTTTATGTTATAATGAGAATATTTGTTATCTGTGTATTTTACTTCAGAATAGAAAAGAAGACATTTTAAAAGACATTGTAAAAAGGAGGCAGGCATTGCGTGTAATCATTCTGACATATTACAGTGAATTATAAAGTCAAGCTAGCAAAATTTACTCAATCATAAAACATTTCTACCTTACCTGTGAGGATTCAAGGGGCATTTCCCATCATCTAAAATAAGCGAGAAGATAAGAATGATTGATTAAAAAAAAAAAAAAAAAACAAGATGAAAGAGAGGGTCATTAAGGATAGAAATTATTGGGGAAAACCAGTAGACTGATTTTCAGGTCGGCTCATTAAAAGGGGAATATTGGGAACAGTCTCTCTCTGAAAGGTAGAAAGTGTTTTAGGCTAAATTGAACATTTGACAATATTTAACTCCAAAGTCCTCTCACTTTCTTCCTCCTTCCTTTCAGTATATACATAACTCAATTTCTTTTCAGGGCATCTTGTGTCACTTGCCCTCAGCCCTTAGCTGGGCAAGCTAATCACATACATAAATCCAAACCAACAGAACAGTGGATATTTTTCCTCCCAGGTAGCATATTTTTATCCAAATGACAGACTCTCATAGTTGAATTTTCAGCTATGGCTGCAGCATTTTCCTCTTATTTGGCCATAGAAAACTTGAAAGCCTAAAATCAAATTGGGAGAAGCCCAGGAAAAAAAGCTCCCATCCCCAACAAATGAATGTATTTATTATTAAAAATATTGGAACATGGGTAGCTATTTGTCCTTCTGCACTGTTACAGGGTCCCCTGGAAATGTCTCAAAGTCAAAGAAAGGACTTGGCGGAAACATCAAGATTAGAGTGATTCCTACATGGTCATAGAGATTAAGGTCTAGGAGCTCTTGCCTCTGCCTTCTGGGTTCTGGGTTTGGTTGAGCAAGCACACATTTTGCATGGAGGGATTCACTGTAGCTCTCAGTACATCTCTGGCATTGAAGCAGAGTGTTGACCTTTGTCTATTGTCTTGGCCACTCACAGGAGAATATATGAAGATTTGGAAAAACAGCCTCAATGTTTTGGTAGCATTGTAAATGGAGAAAGAATAAGAGTAGGGAACACGTGGTTTTGCCTCTGAGCAGTTAAGAATAGGTGTTGAGACCTATGTCAATAATAGAGAAATTCAATGAGAACTCTTTCAGATTTTTTCACATAGCCACTTTCAATTACCTTGATTTGAGCACTAATGGTCTCTCTGATGCCCCTAGTTACTTTCTATGAGGAGTGATGAAGAAGAGTCCCATTAGGTTATAAACAAAACTTTATGAACTTATACGCAGGCTAAGTGGAGAAGATTGAGAAAGGATGTTTTAAACCTTAAGAGATGGGATGTTCCCATCTTTAATTCCTAGACTAAAGTTATTTTTCTGATGAACAATCTGATGAACACAGTTTCCCTTACAGAGAGTTTTCATCTATTTGGTCTTCTCTGTTTAAATCCTGCATCAACTTTACAAGTTTTCAGGAGAAAAAGTAAATCTCTTCGCTTATCACACCAGGTCACCAATACAGGGGCAGCTTCTTCTGCCCCTAACTTCATCTCCTGCCTCCTCCATAATCCCCTTTTGATTCAGATGCACTTAACTGTGAAACATACCATCTTCTCAATGATTTCACACTTTCATGTCTTTCTACATGCCATTTTCTCTAATGGAACTCTATTTCCATTTTCCCCTGGGCTAAATGCCACTCATTCTTCAAAGTTAAGCTTGAAAAAGGCTTTCTCACCTGACAGTCTGGTTAAGGCATCCCTAGTCTATGTTCTAATAATACCTAGGTTGTATTTGTGTCCTAACACACTTACCACACTTCACTACCAGCATTGATTTCACCTGTCTCCCCTCCTGGATTATTCCTTCCTTTATATCAGAAACCATCATTATGAGTCTCACACTCTTAACAAAGATGATGAATAAATGACTGCTACGTGAAGAAATGAGTGAAGTAAGGAAGCATAACACCTTTCTAATTAGTTTTAGTGATAGCCTAGGGTACTTAGACCAGAGGCCCCAAATGCCAAACTGCAAAGTAACCTCATTTGAATTTTGGGAGAGGGGTTTTGAAAAATTCAGATTTCTGCAGCCACTCCCAAGTCTCCCCGTAGAAGGATCTATATTTTTATGAAGTTCCCTAGGTGATTCTAATGGACAGTCAGTTCTCAAGATCACTTATCTTGGCTTTTTTTTTTTCTTTTAATGCAAATATTTTCCAACATGAACTACTGAAGTTGTGGTTCTACTTCCCCACCCTAAATTATGTGAAAGAAAAAAGCAAAGAGAAGACTCTTTCCTATTTACCTTTTTGTCTGAAACGCTTTCTTAGCAAAGCCAGGAGCGTCCCACCCATTATCAGACCTGTTGTAGAAGCCACCGCTCCACCAAAGTAAGTCAGGGCTTCCTGAATAGTCAGTGGTCCTGCTGCAAAACAAACACACACACATGCAAGACATAAGAAGCGTATTATGCAAACGAATAATCTTTCTCTCTCAGAAAGTTTCCGAGAACTCTAAGATGTGAGATCAAGTAGGATCACCAAAGGTCCTGGCAATGCTGACAAGCTAACATGAAAGAAGATCTGGAATTCATAAATCCACTGCAACAAAATGGGAAGTAGGGCCTTATTTTATTCCAAGGCTTAAATATAAACCGTAATATCCAAAGGAATCAGGGTGAGGACCCAATAAAAGAAATTGTAGACACAAGAAGCCTATACATGTAAGTTTTGGCAAATAAAATAAAAGTGGGGCCTTATTGTATTCCTAAGGCTTAAATATAAACTGTAATTTCCAAGAAAATTAAGGTAAGGACCCAGTAAAATAAACTGTAAACATAAGAAGCCTACACATGTAAGTTTAGGCAAATAAAATAAACTGTGGGTAATTTTTTTGGCAAAGATTCAGTTATGTAACAAAAGGTAGTCAGGACAAGCCATGAGGGGAAAAAATAAGGGGCTGAAATACAAGCCCAAATAAGTTTTTGCAAACAGATAGAACTTAATTGAGGAAGATCTGCTAGGGTATTTTTAGTGTTAAGTGGTAAGCAAAGGTCTTCTGATATAATAAATTAGAAATCTGCATGAAATAACTCCCAGTTTAAAACATTTTGAAACTTCAAGGTCTGTTAAACAGAGACTATAATGAAGGGAAAGGTTTCACTTCACAAATTGAACACTGAAAAGGAGGGGTGATTACCTACAGTCACTGGATTGAATTTCCACCACTCTATAAGGTAAGGAGATTCTGCCTGATTCATTGTGAAAAGCTTATTAAGCAGGGGAAACCCAGTGATGGAAAGCAAGACCACTATGAGAAAGACACAGAAGAAACACTGATTTTGTTATTTTCCACATCAAAGTGACTTCTTAACCCACATGAAAATTGTACCTTGGCAGGTTGGCATGGTAGTTGACCAGTGGCCATTCTCCTGGCATGCTGTTTGTGCTGAGCCATTAAGTAACTGGCCCTCTAGACAATGGAAAGAGCAGATCGATCCATAACTGAAGTTTCCCCAGAGGTTGGAGCAGTTCATCACTATTGGCTTATTAACATGTAGTTCTGGGCATTTCACAGCTGCAGAAAAGAAAGAATGGAAGAGAAACAACATGTGGATTGGAGGTGAAAGAGATTATAGTTTATTTCGTAACCTAACAGTGCCAATAAATGAGGCAGAATGTAAAAGGTCAGAAAGGATATGAGCCACTTCCAATATTCACAGTAGCTCTTCTAACAGCACATACATGAAAATATTCTCCCAAAGGGTGATAGCCAAAGAACCACGATGGTAAGATGGATACGTAGTAGCATCTAATAAATACCTGCTAATGCATTGATAAATCTTGCCTCCAAATATACTATTTACAAAATTTTGGTTCTTAAAAATACTACTGGTGTAAATGTTATTACTACATTTGCGATCAACTGGCATGTCAGTATATGTTTATTAAAATACTTAATAAGTGTTCAGCATATCTGGACACTGGAAGTTTGAAAGAAGTAGACCCATCCTCCTTAAACTACATTTTCAGGGAACTTCAGGTTATTCTTTCTAATTTATGGATAGGAAATTAAAGGTCAGGAAATTAGATTTAATTCAAATAAATGTTATTGATCAGTAGTGTCATTTGGAAAGCACCGTGCTATGTTTTTTGGGGGATACAAAAATGAAAGAAACATAAGTCTCAATGCTTTATGTATAGGGTGATAGCTCTTCAGGAAATATCACGTATGGCTTAATTTTTATTTAGGTTCAAATTATTATGAAACTATGGAATGTTTATATGGTCATGTAATATGCAACTTTTAATTTACCAATTTCTATAGCAGGTTTTACATTTAATATACCTATTTTTCTAACACATCTCGGACATCTGCAAATGTTTCTTCAAGTCTCTGAGTACTTATGTATTAGCTTTAGCTTGTGACATGAGGAAGGGCAGAAGTGATGTGCCTGTGACACATTACTTTTAATTGGGATTGGTGTGGATTTCACAGGGGAGATGACACTTGGAAGTAGTGGTTGTGGTTGGGTGAGACTTCAACATACAGGCACAATGGCTAGCTTGAGTACTTGCAGGAAGGCAGCATCAGAATTGCCTTCTTTTCATCTTACCTCTGCATGTTGGAGTTACTGCTGTCCATTGTCCTGAAGGTCTGCAGCTGAGAATGCTGTCTCCTATGAGTGTGAATCCAGCATTGCAGCCAAAGTAACAAGTGGTATTAAAACCAAAGGTTCCCGGATGATGCCTACAGTGCATGGTTCCCTGCCCAGGTGTGGTGAGGGCTGGGCATTGCACCCCTGGACTAGGAAGTGATGCTATGCCTGTTGTGAGAAAACGTTTCAATTCAGAGAGCTCCCAATTAAAAGAAGTGTAAAGAGTTAAGGCTAATCTGGAATAACTGCTTTTCACTCCCTTCATAACAAGGGAGGTTCTAGCAAGAGCTATTAAAGAAGTTAAGAAAAACTATCAGTGTCAGATATAGAAAACCAGATGAGGAAAATTATTAAAAAGCATCCTTGAGGAGATCATTCTCCTGGCCAAGAGAAGAAATTAGGGGAGTCATTGTTATTGCTATTTTAAAAAGAAGCAAAAAATGGTACAGAAATGTAAGAAATTCAGCAGAAAGCCAAATATACATGGGCCAACTGCCTGCCCAACCCTGCTTTACTGGGAAGTGGTACTGTTCTCTCACTAAAGGTCAATGTGAAAGTTGAAATTTACTGCAATGATTGCTTTCTGTCTCAAACTATTTCTTCCATTTGAATGATCCCACCAGCTTTGTCATTAACTTGCCATGTGGCAGGAAGATGATGATTGACCTTTCTGGGCCTCAATTCCTAAATTTGAAAAACTGGACCAGTGACTCTACCCCAGTATTATCTCTGTTTCTCTCAGCAATAAATTAATGGAGACCATTCAGTTCGCTCAACAAAGCTCTTTCAAAAAAAGAAGCCATGAAACAAAATTCCTGCTTAAGAATCAATGTATCTTTTATTCACAAACATAAAAATATCCTGTCACTCCTTAGACGTTTTAAAATCCTTCAGCTGTTTGCTAAATCCAAATAGTGGTAATATGTACAATTATCTAGTTCACATATAAGAACTAGATAATTGTTTGTTGTTGTGGAATAAATTTCCAAAAGTAGAACTGTCTCAGTAAGTACATATTATTACCTTTGCAGGCTGGTGGAGTAGCTGACCATCTTCCAGAAGTTGTGCATTTCACATTATTGGGCCCCTCCAGCTTAAAGCCCTTGTTACAAGAGAAATGGCAGGTGGAGCCAACATTGAATTCTCCATGAGTGTCAGAACAATCCAGGCTGCCCTGCTCTGGGGCGAAGAGTTCTGGGCACTTGATGACTAGAGTATCAAATTAAGAATGTCACAATCTCCAAGTTTATTCAGAAGTTCTATGTTACACAAAGTTCATTCACTTATATATTCAAAAAATATTTATTGAGCACCTATATTCCAGATGTTCTGCTAGGCAGCAGCATTCCACAACATATACTGTAGGTCATTTGTTGCAAAGGGCAGTGGGAGGATGGTGAGCTTACAGAGAGGAGTATAGGTACAAGTCATGAAGACAAGGAAGTCTATGTGCTCCCTCATGGAAAACCGATGTACAGTATTTGGCTTTTATATACTGGTCCATGTACTTTTCATTGAAGGATTATGGATTCTTATTGCATGAATCCATTCAAATAGCCAAAATAACATAGTGAATTTCAGTCCAGTACTCTCAAATCATTGAGTAATTAACAACTTCATATCTGACATGTCAAGTCAATTTACTAAACATTTTTGAAACATGTCTATTGATGTAAGTCCTAGACATGAAGTCATCTGTGAACATTTTCACAAAAATAGTTTTCTCATAATCTCCCAGAATTACAACTTTAAACTGAAGAATATGTATAATGTCAGCTGCAGGAAAGCAGGGACCTTGTCAGTTCTTGAAACACTGTATCCCAGAGAACAGGTCCTGACACATAGGAGGGGTTCTACAAATACTTATGAAATGAATGAATACAGTAATGAATACAATTTAATTTAAATGCATTCTAAAAGGTATTCCTACCTGGTTTGAAAAGAAACAAGAGGAATTACTGTTTTTAAAAATTCACTGAAGGGGGCCCTAGTATAAAATGAGAATTACTACAGCATTAAATTCATTTGGGGGATAGTGCTTTGGTTTCAGTCTTGTCAGTCATGCTCAGCCAAGGTTACATATCCAGACTTTTGTATTTATAAAAGTCTCTGAACCCTCTTAGGTAAAAATTAACCTTGACCCTTACATACTAAGAATTTGGCTCTGGATCACGTAAAGAAGCGGTTTTGCCTGTTTGAGGGGCAGCCTAGATGAGTTACATGGAAGCCTAACCCAGATCCGGCATATGGTGGGCACTCAGCAAACATGGGATGAATGATATTTGTGGAGTTATCAAGGATGCTACTGAAATGGAGATTAGTGCAGATGCAGAGGAAAAGAGTTATAACCAGGAATGACCTTTGTGCATAACTTTGAGAAGTGGTCATATTCTTGAGCCTACTCTAAAACTTTGGCAAAAAAAAACTCCTGAGTAATTACAAAAATAGAAAACAGATAAGGGCTGCATTTATTGCATGCTTAATGCTCGATTTTCACTGACTACCAAGGCAGTTCTATTACATATGGATATTCATTGGTGTTTTCCTGTAGTCCATCAAGTAGGTATACATGATTGTATCTGAATTCATAAACATATTGATTTATATTATTTCAAATAGATTTAGTAAATTCTCTATTTCCTTTTATTATATCATTTTTCTTGAGTTTGATAGAGTTTTCTCAATAATTTTCTGGAAAGAAGATATAGTATAAATAATAAATGTAACTGAGTTGAATATTGTAAACTCAAACTTTAGAAATAAAACTAGGGGCCGAGACGGGCGGGTCACGAGGTCAGGAGCTCGAGACCATCCTGGCTAACACAGTGAAACCCCATCTCTACTAAAAAATACAAAAACTAGCCGGGCGAGGTGGCAGGCGCCTATAGTCCCAGCTACTCGGGAGGCTGAGGCAATCCGGCCACTGCACTCCAGCCTGGGCCACAGAGCAAGACTCCATCT